TTGTTGATTGTGAATTCATTTCATAGTATTTCCTTTTGTTTTCTTTTTCCTCAGAGATTGCTGGAAAAGAGATTAAGTATACTATCAGTGCCGAGGTGCGATTCTGTTTTGCTTTTTCTGGATTTCTTCTCTTATGCACTGATTGCAAGTAAACGCCCAAGATACATGTTTAAACCGGTTTATGGACCATATTCCTTTTCGGATAAGAAAATATTGTCATTCAGAAATGCATCAATGTGTATGCCTTTATACTTCTAAGAGTATTACCATTAAACAAAACAAGATATACTCCTTTTTCATTATCGTCTTATTTGCAAACTGTACATATATGATTAGTCGACAATACCTTGGATGCATATATGTTTAGGTATCTGCAAATGATAAATATGACTTTTGTCTTCCCTCTTGTGCCCTTGCTTCATTTTGGCTGGCTTATTACTTAATTGTTGTTTTTTATTTTATTTAAGTGATATTAGTAATATATTTCTTTTGGCAGGATATGAGGAGAGAGCTCGGAATATCTTCCCTGGACGACATTGAAGAAGAGAGAGAGCTAAAACAAATGGTTAGATTCATAAAGCATACATTGCTTAATCCAGTGCCCTTTTTCCATTTTAGTAAATGCCATTACTTAGATTTCTTATGCTATGTTCCCTTGTAATCACACAGGATTATAATGCAAAGTGCAGAGCATGCCAGCACCTGGGCATGGCATACGTTGCCAGACAGGTAGAAACTTTGTATTTTTGTATCTGTATGTGTGTGCGTGCTTTAAATCTTAAGTTTTGAATATTCTTTTAACGGAATTTTTTTATTATTATTATCGTAAAATGTATTTATTTATTTATTTTTTTCCAGATAAGGTCTGCTGATGAAGGCCAGACAATATTTTATACGTGCCCCGTGTGTGCCCATAGACAAACTGAGAACTCGTAGATTCAGTGTAGCAGATTTGGTGTTGTGCTTCATTCTCAACAAGTGAGAGAGGAGTTTCTTATCCAAGTCAGAAAATCTTAAGTAAACATTTTGTTGCAGTTTTACCACTCAGGGTGGGCTTTCGTTCATTTGTTGGGCTGTAGAGTGTAGTTGTACAAGAACTCGAGATACAAATGCCATTTGTCCATTTATTTTTGTTATTATTGAGTGTGCAAATTTTTGGTTGGCTAAAAACTACATTTGGTCTTCCATTACCAAAGGAAAAACACATATCCTTTTATATATAATTTTTGAATGTGATAAACTTAAGTGTCAAATCCATATGCTTCGTAAGCTTATTTGACATAAATTTGTGTTTCATATTGACAAATATACAAGTTTGGTTTTGACTCCGGCGGCCAAGTCTTAGCCCAAAAATATTAAGGCACGGGTATTATTGGTCGACACTGAAGAAAGAAGCAACCTACCTCGTGTAAAAATGAGAGAAATGCCAGGTTTTTGCACCTGTCATAATTCAAACCTGGCAACCTTTTAAGTTGATTTTCAGCCCTTGTCCATTTGCAAAGTGGAGGATAGATTTAATCGGACCTATGCCCTTGTCCATTTCCGGTACATGAAAATCTAGGTGGTTGTGGGGTTCGTCTGCTAGGTTTAGGGGAGGTTTTATTGTATTTTGTTTATTAGGTGTGAGTTGTTATTTATCTTTTTTTGTTGTTTTTTCGTTTAGTCCAGCGGCGTCTGGTTGTTAGTCTCCGATTTGGAGTTGGTGTCTCCCTTATGGAGTTTTGTTTTTGCGGTTAGGTCTCCTAAATGGAGGTTGTACCCCCTTGACCACGTGTGTGAATCCAAGGGGGGTTGGTCCAGTTTTTCTGGTTCCAGTAGTGTCAGTTGGCACTCCGATCTGTACTTTTTTTTGAGTATTAATATATTTGNGAAAATCGAACTCAAAAGTAGTTCATAAGAGCCCAATATAGTACTTTTCAGTACATAGAAACCAAACTCAAAAGTAGTTTGAGAAGGACATAAGAGTAGAAAGAAATAGAAGTCAAAAGTAGTTGGGAAAGGCAACACAAGCCCGAAAATACTTTATAATACATAAATCAAGTATTCCAACCTATAAGGTAAAAGAATATGACAACATAGAAATATGAAAAACCAACCATTCATCGAACATAAAACATCCGTTGATGAATTGAAAAAGGCGAAACATAACAGGTACTACTGTCTGAAAACCCCACGAAAAACAAACAAAACGAATAGTTTGACATGACACAATCTGACTTTAAAAAATACGACAAGTTTTAGAGAGAGTCTCAGAAATAAAACTGTTGGAAATGCTATGAGTTAGGCGTCTTCCTCGATGCTCTTCTCGCTGGTCAACAATTTCCATCACCTCCGAGCTCACCACCCACAAAGTCCCCTGGTCGGCGACCTGCTTGACTTTTGAGTTGGGTCCAAATAACAAGTTGGCCTGATGATGTCGACCCCTCACATGGAAGGAGGTGATTGGTAGCGAAGAAAATATTTGCGATCCTTTTCTTTCTTTTTCTTATTTTTCTCCAGCATTCGCCTCTAGCTTCTTTAACGGAAGAGAAGCTGCAGAGACCAAGCAGAGGATAGAAAACTAGGAAAAGAAAATAGCAGCAATGAGATCGGATAGATAATCTACCGAGACGTGTGTATTTCACATACCAACAAACACAACATACAATAACAAATTTAGGGTGGTGTATTCCTTTGAGATTCTAAAAGAATTTATAGGATTTTACTAAGAATAGGATTTTATGGAATTTTATGAATTCTCATGGATTTTGTAGGATTTATTAGAAATCCCCAAAAGTGACATTTGGAATTGTTCAGGACTTGTATAGATTTCTTAAGACTTTTCAAGAATTTTGTAGGCTTTTATTATTGATTGAATAAACATCAACATTAAATATATAAATATACCATTGTGAGAACTTGTGAGAAAATTTATACATGAAAGAAAATAAAAATCAATTTGAACAAGGAGAAATGTGAATTTTCTATTTATTTTTTGTTTATTTATTTTTTTGTACAATAATAGTCCAATTTATTATAATTTTTATTCTATCCAATAAACCACACTCTCAAGACATACAATTACTATATTTTTTCTCACTTATAATTTTATTCTATCAAATCAACCACATAATCTCAAGAAATAATTATATTTTTGACTGACAACATTAATAACCATTATGTTTGAAACTTTTGTGATATTATGATAATAATGTCTAACCTTATTTAAAGAGATTCTATAAAATTTTGTGCGAAAAATTAAAATATTGGAAAATATAAGGTAACAATATCAATAAGGTGCAAATTTGATGAACACAGAAGTGTCGCGTCTAATACAATTTCATATAAAATAAAAATAATAAGCAAGTCCAATTTCTACTTTATAGCATAAGGTGCAAATTTGATGAACACAAAAGTGTCGCGTCTAATACAATTTCATATAAAATAAAAATAATAAGCAAGTCCAATTTCTACTTTATAACATCATTCCACATTTCATTTGCTATTGCATCCCTCCATGCATTAGCGGCTGCTCTTTGTTGTTCTTGACTTTCAAAAAATGGCCCAAAATTATCTCCTTCGGTTATTGGACAAGATTGACCTGTTTCTTGTTCAAGTTCTGCTGGAAATTCATCAGAGCGATATTCTTTACGTAAAAAGTTATGTAACCCTGCACATGCCAATACCAGCTCCGCTTGCGTATGAAACGGAAATGGAGGTGGCGATTTGAAAATCACAAACCTTGATTTGAATATACCAAATATCCTCTCAATTACATTCCTTAACGAAGGACGCCTGAGATTAAACAGTTCCTTGGCATCGCTTGGGTCACGACCTTGACCTGTAAAATCATTAAGATGGTAGCGAGTCCCTCGATATGAAGTAAGAAACTGTCGTCTATTTGGATATCCACAATCGGCCAATAAGTACTTTCCTGCAAATAAATAATATAATTATCTCATGCTTGTGACATTAATAACAGTGCATTAAAGAAATATGAAACGAAAGAGAAAATTATGAATTAATACCATCAGGAATTTTGAGTCCGTTTCTTCTTGTTAGCGCATCCGTCAAAATTTTTGAATCATGAGCTGAACCCTCCCACCCACTGAGCACATATATAAACTCAGATCAAAGTTACAAGCAGCTAAAACATTTTGCGAAATTTGTCCATGCCGACTCCGATAACTGCTTGTATCATGTCCTATTACCATCGCTGGAATATGTGTGCCATCAATAGCCCCAATGCAGTCCTAAAATTTTTAAATTTTCAACATTAGAAAACAATATAATGATGTTACAAAATTAAAGTAAATAATGTTATTACTTACTTTAAAGTATGGATAAAATCGTGTACTTTCTCTTATTTTCTGAGGAATTGTAGATCCTGGCTTAGCCAACATATCTACAGAGTATTTGGTTAGTGCTTTCAACACCTTGTTAAAATTCTGGCTGGTGGTGAAATGTGATCGACCAAATACTTGTCGTACTTGACAGTATCTATTATTTTGCCCAACAATAAGTAAGAATGTCGCAAGCATTTCCCAACAGAAACAAACCTTGTGTCGCTCAAGAGTTGTTTCTCTCTAATGATACGACATAATTTCAAGAATACATCGGGGTACATTCTATAGACCTCTCTGAAGTCGTTAGAATCTTCCCCAAGTATTTTATGTATATAATCATAACCATCCACCGTTTTCGGCCTTCTGCTTAATGAGTAATTGACACGACCATGACACATATTAACCATAAGCACATTTGCCATGTAAAAAATTGCTTGAATGAGCAAGCATGAGTACCGAATGTATTTATATAACTCTTCTCTCCTGTCATCTTCTTCAATTTCATCTATGTCCATTAGATCATCTTCGTGCATATCAGTATCAGACATTATGTGACCTGTGATAATTAATAAGATATGAAACGACATAAATTAATAAAATTCAAATAATACACAAATTAAAGATAAATAATTCCAACATCAAACAAGCCAGAAAATTCATATAGTTCATAGTACTCGAATAACATAAAATCCATGAAAATAAAAAACCAAGTCCAACCTGCTCAAAACAATGGACATAGACCTAGAAGTTCATAATAATCTTATTATATATAAATCATTTCAACTTATATGCTATCCACTCAGCTCGTTCATCCGGGGACATGTTAAAAAACTCTGACTTTTTTGCTTTGGTATTAAGCAAATCAAGAGCTTTGAAACGATCCTCAGAAGTTAAGCCTGGAATCTCCTTAATCAAATCCCAACAGTTGTACTCTTTTGTGTCAATTGATTCAATAGCACGAGTAAACTTCTCCACATTTGATGTAAGCTTTTCTGCGAGGTCTTGGATATCTTTAGGATCAAATGAGGTAGCCTTAGTTTGAGAATCAGTTTTAGCTCGTTTTCTTGGAGGTGGACGGGGCTCCGAGTATTGTTGTTGAGTCGAGGTTGGCACGAAAGAGTTCTCGGGAGATGGTGGAAAAGGATCTTGGGTACTTGATGGAATAAATGCATCACTTGAGGGATCATATGTGAAATCATCTAGCAAGCTCCCACTTTCTCTATTTTCTTCTATAGTGTCGTCTCCTATGGCAATAGAATATGTCCCTTTAGCTGTACCGTTACCAACTGCAATTCTCAGATTTTCAAAGTCTGGATGAGGGTCTGTCCGTAAGCTTGAAT